CAAACCATGAACCAAGATGCTTCGGTGCCTGCTCCTTGCTGTTTGTACATGATCTGATAATTCAAAGCCCGTTTGATTCAGACCTCGTCCTATTCGCTGGGCCCCGGGTAAGGCTCATCAGCGTCACGCAGATCTGGAACCGAAACGCCAGGAGAGACGCAGACTACGCAGCGGCACAGCTGCGCAGGATTTCCGCGTGCAGCCACATTTCTGCACTTCGCGCCTGGTCTCCTTGGTTGGCATACGTTGGTACTCGGTTAGTCGGATGCCTCTTAGGAACCCGTTCGCTCGCCCCGAGATAGTTCAGCTTGTCAATATGATTGACAGGTCGCTTGCGGCCCGCCATGTTCGCTCCGGGAATCCTCAACGCTGCTACCTAGTTGGACGGTGCGCTGCCTCTCACCTTGGGGCCCTTAACGTATCCGTGATCGGTACACCTACAAAGCCTTCCTCCTACCGCGGCGCCTGGTGCAACCTCGTTCGCCAAGCGTCACGAGACGTACTATCCCCGCCGTCCTTGGCCCCCTGGGTCAGGTTTCGGTACGGAATATCAGGTACTGCAGCATCAAAGCGACGTCAGAGTGAAGATGCACTCTCTTGTTCGCAGCAACAGAAGCAAAACTGTAACCTTACCACCAAAAGAGGCCCGTCGCCTTGGGATGAGGGTTCTATTGGTCTTCTCATCTGAAGTCGCCGACCTGCTGTAGCACCCACCTACCTGATCTTGTCGGCCTTGACTTTACCTCTCGGTTCAGCTCAGCTTGCAGCCTTTCATCGCCTATTGCCTATACTCAGACCCATTGTATCTCAGATGGCGGTTTGTCCCGATGTCAGCAAACAGAATCCTTACTGTGAGTACCATCGTACGACCGTCTCCCGTCTTGCACTTCGTCGGCCATCCTTCCCGTGAAACCAAGCCCGACGGGTTTCCGTCAAACCCCTCTCTTGACCGAGTCAGCGCCGGCGTACCGGGACTTTCCCTCTTTGAGCGCCTCGTCCGGTCTCTCTCCAGGTCTCTTTTGATCCATCTTATCTAGCGATAACTATCTTCAAATGCTTTAGAAACTTGCGGGGTTTTGCGGGGTTATAGAGGCGGGATGCAAGCCACATGCTAAGCCACCTCCCGGCACTTATGAATCTGTAACAACACCCAAAAATATCTACGGCTCAGTGACATGGCAAACAAGACGCCGGAACAAGCCGTAGCCTAAAGAGTCGATCATTTCTCACAGCTGGAAGTTCCTCTCCATGAATCAAGTTAACAACTAGCAAGAGTACCTGCAGAATGGTGTAGATGTCAGAGATTTCGACCATCAAGGGGCCAGAGCCCAGCCAATGACTACATGCCCACCTCGCAAGACGAAATTCCATTGAGGAATCAAGGAACAACACCAGTACATCCATTTTCCGTTATCCTCTGAGTTTATCTGTCTTATCCTTTGTTTCTTCTTGTTCAAAAGCCTTTAGGGATTGTAAAATAGAATGATGTTGAATCGTAGAAAATTGCGAGACCAATTATTTCCAATCACACATCGTTGCCGTCTTGTGATAGTCAATATAATAGACGTTAAAAGGAGTAGTTTTAGACATCAAGAAGATCTCAGAGCTCCTATATATACTAGTAGGTAACTTCTGGTCCATATCAAGACAGCCATCGGGCCGGCAAAAGCCCAGGATCGTGTTAACCGTAGGCTCAATGACAAAGTCACATCATCTAGGCACTATTATAAGTCAGGGAAGGAATTTGTTAGACAAATTCACCAAAACCAGAGACGCAAAGAAGAAGCGTTCACATGTTGAGTCGTTGGCATTTTAGGATCAAGAAGAGACTTTCATAAGAAAAACTTTCGGCATGGAATTCTCATATACGATTCGTACTCGTGGATATCAAACCGACTGTGCCTGATCTAATACTCATACAGTCACATCAACATTATCATCCATGCATAGAATAAAGAACAGCCAGGACACTGTTCGTTGTTTATATTCACAATGATGTTGATCTTCGAATCATATTCACCCAATCATGTTCACTGTGTCTAACAAAGAAGAAGCAGATACTGGCAGGTAATTCACTGAGCATTGAGAGTCCTAGTTTACCCAAGTAAGGACTATTTCCCCATCATATTGCCACTCTGTGTAAAAACCCCCTATTTTCTCGCCCATAGTTGTTCTATTCCCTGGCCATCGAAGCTGTGCCATATCCGTCAAGTCACCAAGGCACAGCCAGGCACCGCCTGTTGTGTAACTCGGCATATTCAACTTAGCAGTTGCCGAGGAGCTTGAGCTGCCAGCCAGCAGGGTGAGTCTGAGTGCTGATGAAGCCAAGGCCGCAGCTAGAGGTGGCGGTGATGAAGTAGTTGCGGCCGTTGTAACTGACGAAGCCCTGCCCATCCTTAGGAATGCAGGCGGTGCCGATCTGGAAGTTGTTGGCGTCGAGGACCTGAACTCTGCAGTTGGCAAAGACGGCGACGGCCTGGGCGGCGACGGCGATGATGGCGGAGGTCTTCATTTCTGTGCTCGAGTTAGTTGTTGGTATTCTTGGATGATGAGAGGAAACCCCTTACTGATGGTTGGTAAGGGAGTTCCTTGATTGAAGAGTTGGGTTTTGATTGTTGTAGGTTATTGGGATTGTGAGATGAGAGGATGATGGGTTGGTGTCTGGAATTTCTCGACTGAGTGTGGAAAGAGTCTGTCTTTATACATTTTTCAAACGCAGCGTGAGGCTCAGCCTTGCCCTCAACGCAGGTACGCGATCAATATCCACACAGACTTCACGGAGTATCAGAGAACAGGTCTCCGTGACACTGACTCGTGCTCTTGCTAGATTCAGATGTTCCGCAAAAGATGATTGAAAAGACCCTCCTCACGATCTTGACACATCAAGCTAAGAGTCGCCTTCATCAACTGCCTGGTGGGACGTGAGAAGCCGTCAAGACGAAGCCACTGGCCGACATCACCACATTCAGAATATCGTACGACTTGACTAGCAAATTCTCGCTCAAACTGATGCGATAAAAGAGGAAGGTCGATATGGCAGACAGTCAGAAATGCACCATTGCCTTAGAGAATGACAAAGATTGGAAGGTCTTTGGCTCTTGGTGGATATGAAAGAATCTCTATACATGCCATCAAGCGGTATTAAACGAGAGAAAACTCGCTGTCAAAGTGATATATCAACTCTTTCGATGCAGGGTCGAGATATCCCATCGGCTGTAATCACGGATGTGGGACCCGGGCGGGACGGCCCTACGGCCATGCAGCTGTCAATGACCCGGTGGGCTACTAAGCAGATTTTGACAGGTGGGCGAGTTCATAGAAGGTTAGCACAAGGCGTTTATCCCACAGGATGCAGGGACTTGATCTCGTAAGTAATATCTAGGGGTCCTACTCTAAAAAGTCAAGACATAGCCCTACTCGGGGACCAGGTTCTTTTGGGCCGTAACAGCTCAGCACTGTGACAAATTACTTCAACTGAATCAGGAAATTCCGAGAACGACTTACTGTAGATCTGCCGCCTTTCTTTAGCTGAGGTGGGTGGTGGAGCTGCGACGGGCTTCAACTTCAGCGGCTGTGATGTTGCCCATTGGGTCAATGCTCTCGATGGCAAAACAATTCCGATGATTCGGTCCGGAGTGGTCCGAGGCTGGAGAGTCAAGCAGCTTTGGAAGAACGAAGCCCCAAAAGAGATGCCATCTGACGAAACCGAGAGTTGAACAACAAGATAATCCAGGAGACTTCATAAAGGCAACCGCTCACTCAAGCATCCAGCCCGTGATTGGCAGATTCAGTTGTGAGGCCATGGGCCTATAACGCCCCTTCTAGCCTCATTCATCATAATATAACAAGCTACCAAGCGTTTATAGCAACTCGTACTGGTGTTACACAATGTGATGGGCCAAGAGGACTAATAAATATAGTTAATGAAGGGAAAGAAATCATCACAGTCCACTAAGCCTAACCTCAAGGCACGTGATACAGTCAAATCCGAAGAGATCGGATGGTAAAGAAGTACTTTCAACTCAAACTGAGTGACCATGCTGTTCCATTTCCGTAGTGGAAGTCTTTAGTGCTGCAGATAATACCTATCCAGCAGATGCAAAGGTTTCGAGAGATAGCCAACGAAATATCTTATCCTCCAAACTCTATATTCAGACTAAAGGGTCGATATAGCAACACAGAAAAAGACTATGTGAGCCTCGCATTTTTATAGTTCCTTCAATTTGTGCGTAACTTCCAAAGACATGAAAAGTTATAGAAATTACCTCTTTCTTTGTCTTGTTTTGGTATCTTCTATAGTATTTCCTGATCTCCAATACGACCCTTTTGACACTGGCAATCAAAAGGACAATTTTTATTCAATCCCTAACGCCGTACATGCAGACGGAGAGTGAGGCAGTGACATAAGTCTTGTTAGACTACACCGAGACAACACAATCTGTCCTCAGGGTGGCACGCTGATCTTACCGGCACATCCTTCTGGATGGTGGCAAATGGCCCAATTGGTCTGCCTTGTACAAGTCTCACTTCACAACTGCCAAAAGTAGGACTTACGATCCGCGAGGGTGTGTCAGCCGCACCTCTCCCAATCCTCCCTTGAGCTCCATGGTAACGCTCTCAAATCTCATTATGATTGCCCTTCCCTCTTAAATATATGTAACGTTCGTCGACTAGAATTCCTGAAAAGCCCAACTTCTGTAATTGAGATACAACGAATTTCATCAATTGCTTTCAATTGCTTGCGACCACCGCTAACACGATGATCATCGAGACGGCAGGCACACAGGCCATCTTGGCTATATTTCTTACCTTCCAGGTCGTCTATTTCGGCATCGAATTATCTTTCTACGTGTTCTTCCGCAAGAAAATGACGCAAACATGGCTTGTGCTCTTTCAGTACATGATCGCACCGGTGTCAATTGGCATATTTGGGATCATTCTCATCTCGATAATTTTCAAAGTTGAAAAGGGCGACAGAAAAGATGTGTTCTCAAACTGTCAGGCTGAGGTTGACGCGGACATAGGAGGATACGGCATTCGCATTGCTGTCTGGGCACAAGGATTCGTCATCTTTTTCATCGCCCTTGCTGGGACATTCCACTCCAAGGTCACGGGTGCTAAGGAAATTGGTGCTGGCCTCATCCTTACGCACTTTTCCTTGGCTGTGGCGCTGATGGTCCAGCTGAATCAAGTCAAAGAGCAAGATAACCAGAAACGCAGCATACTCACCTCGGCGAGTGCAGTTCTTGGCGCTATGATTCTCGACTCTCAAAACAGTGCCCTCTCTATCCTCCTCATCACCAAAGAGACTCTCGCATCTAGATGGCAAGTCGGCATTGTGATAATCTGCCAAGCTATGAGCCTGGTGCTCATACCAATCTTGGTTAAAGGATTCCTCCATGACCTGTCGACCCCGCTAGCTGGTGACAAGAACGGCTGCAACTCCATTCAGGTATTTTGGTGGGGAAGACTCCGGAGCTTCCCCTACGATCTAGGACCGAAGATTCGGAATTCGGGGAAGGAAACAAACGCTTTCTGGATTTATTACATGTTCAGATGCATTCTCTACGCCCAGAGTAGCTTTCATGCGCTCATGAATACGCAAATATTTCACAAAGCCCAGAAGGATGACGCTTTCAATCTCGAGGGCATCACACACCCATCGCTGGGCAAAGGGGAAGCCGGCGCCTCGAAGAAATCGTGGCGTAGTAGACTCCGAGCTTGGCTTGGAGCTCACTCACAGGATGTTGCATATATCCCATACCCAACCACCGTATCGCTTATGTACATCGTTTACGGACTCTTCATGGTGGCCGCTATGGCTGCTGCGGAGATCACGATAGGTGGCGATAGCCATCACGCGATTTTCAAAGAGAAAAAAGACGAAGACGATCAAGCACTGTCTATCGGCCAGATCATAGCTATTGTCGTCGCTGCTGTAACGATTACCCGGGGACTATGGCTGTTCTTCATGTTGTTCATTAAGGGTGGAGAGATTAAGAACATCAAAGAAGGATTCAGGTGGCCACTACACCTCCAGTTCGATAACTGAGAGCATCAGAGGATGTTCTGCGACATCAGAGACAACCGTTTGAAGCCCGAAGGACCATGGGACCGGTAGAGGGGGAGTGGTTGCTACAAAGGCCTAATGGTATTATTAATAGAAGACGACAAGACGCTCTTTTTAGGTTCCTCGGATAGAGATGATTGACTAGGGGCTTGACTTGTCGCGGCATGGTTTCCACATGCCCACTTCATGGGCTGTCCATGCTTTCATACTAGACTTAGCCATATAGCAGAAGCAGGGTTGAGGTGCAGTTGATGAAAAATTACACATAAAATGTGGACGGCTTAGTCGTGTGACCTGTCTTGTGTGCCAATCGAAAAGAAACGGCTACTGGTGTTACTGACGTAGGGGTCGAGGATTGCACTCAGGCATCGACGGTAGGAAAGGTAGGTTCCGTTAGGATAACGCACTTGAACTCGAAGATCCCCATGCCAATGTATGAGAAGGCCCACTTCCGGCCTAGTTCGCGGGCCTGAATGACACTCGCGAGTTGTTGAGCCACATCACGTGGTCGGACGAGCATCGGCCGAGGCTCAAGCCACCCATTTCTAAGCGGAAGATTCGAGAAGGCGACGACAGCCGCAAGTCCCGGGCGAAGGTGGGGTCGGCGGAGAAGCGACCCTTGGAATCCACGTCCAATCCATCGGCGCGGGTTGGCGGGGGTCCCGCGTCCAACATCCACTGAAGTGGTGACAGCAGCCAGCACGCACTGCAGCAGCAGTTGCAGCAACGTTGGAGGGCAGTGAATCTTCGGCTAGCACACCATCTGAACGCCTCGAGGCGGAGCTGCAGCAGCCGGTGTACCCAACGGTTTCTCCTCCACACCATTCACCAGGCCGAATGCCTGCTTCCTCATCACCGAACCGATTCCCCTAAGTGCAGTCCGCACGCCTCAATACGCATTGAAGCTCCTCCTCCTTGGCTCCTGCGTAGCCTTCTGTTCCGGTGTTCTGAGCCTCGACAGACAGCTTTCGGACTGATTCCTACTTCGACGGCAAGACTTGACAAGGTTGCGCCGTTGCATTCGGCGTCTACTTTGCATCTTTATATATAATACGACTGAATACCTGTCCCTCCAGCCCGCCGCTGAACCGTCTCCTCCGCTTGCTAGTCCCAATTCGACAACGTTGGACTGTAACCATACCCTCCGAACCACAACTACACATTGCAAAGGGAACGAAACCATAAAAATGTCAAGGTCTATACAGCTCAAGGAAGAAGGCAATCGCCACTTCCAGCAGGGCGACTATGCTGGCGCGGAGGCCCTGTATTCCAAGGCGTAAGCTTCACCTACACGAATCCAGAGTCACCCCCCAGCCTGATTCACCTGCTGTGTACTCCAGATAGCTAGGCATGGCGATCACGTCGACCGAGAAGCTGATTCTTGGTTTATTATAGCATCATTGCCGACCCAAAGAACCCCGCTCTATACACGAACCGTGCAATGGCACGCCTCAAGCTCGAGATATGGGACTCGGTTGTCTCCGACTGCGAATCGTGTCTTGGACTTACAGCCGATAATCTCAAGGCCCACTACTACCTCTCCCAAGCCCAGCTCGCCCTCAAAGACTACGATTCGGCCCTCACAAATGCCCAAAAGGCCCACCAGCTCTGCGTGCAGACTGGCGATAAGTCACTTGCGGCCATCACCGCCCAGGTGTTGCGCGCAAAGAAGGATAGGTGGGACTGGATGGAGAAGCGGCGAACGCGGGAAGCACGACACCTCGAGAACGAAGTCATTGAGTTGATGGAGAAGGAACGTGAACAAGCCCTTACGAACGCAATGGACGACGGGGAAAAGAGGGAGATAGAGGCTGAGTGGGAACAGAAGATCGATATACTGAGGAGTACATTCGAGAAGAGTCGCTCTGCAGAGGAGAAGAGACGTGAGGTTCCGGAGTGGGCTATCGATGATATCAGCTTTGGCATCATGGTCGACCCTGTCCTTGTGAGTTGGACTACTTGCTGCCTACCTGCTTGCTGCCTACTAATACGCTCATAGACCAAGACTGGAAAGTCATATGAGAGGGCATCCATCATGGAGCATCTACGTCGTCACCCCAGCGATCCACTTACACGCGAGCCCCTACTTCCATCAGAGTTGAGGCCTAATCTTGGCCTTAGGCAAGCATGTGAAGAGTTCCTTGAGGAGAACGGTTGGGCGGTGGACTGGTAATTCTGCAGAGTTGAGCATGCATACATGTTGGCGGCACCATCTGATTTCAATCTATTGCATAGCACGGCGTTTATGGTCTCATTAGTTGCGAAGAAAACCGGGTCGGATATGATTTCGCAATCGCTACACAGCGACTATAGACTTACTGCCCGGGGAAGCCTTCCTCAGGAGCTCCTTCAACACCAATACTATCCCGCTTCCAGAGTCTGTAAGGGAACAACGATGCAGTCTGGCTTAGATGATGTGATTCTTTCTGGATGAAATGGTCTCAACGCATGACAGCAATGGAAAGCAGCTTCTGGTGGAGCTTTGGCTGCTAGGATGTTGATTGCATTTGTCTTACGGACCACTTAACTATGAAAGCTTGAACGGACACGGCTAACATAAGAACTTTGGACTAGCCTTGATCATTGCATCAAGGTTACGAGTAGTGCTCCCTACTAGGTATCGTCCGACGCTACAATCAGTCGTCGCTACCTTAGCTGCGTTGATTGGCTACTACATGCATCCAAGGCTTGAGTTGAAGGCTTCTCAGTGAAATTTTCTCATTGTCTAGGTTTGAAGAGACGGTAGTCCCGCTCTCAAGGTTGGACTTCTGTCTTGTAAGACACCTTTACTGCGGATAATGCAGCGGTGAAGTTGCTTTCTTTCGCATCAATCGAGCTAGAAGGCCGTCAATATCAAAAGCAAGAGATTCCGATATAGAGGCAGGCAGGTGGGAGAGCGGTATGTGAGAGCATGGCACTGAATCAGCACGCTTCCACTGCCAATTGTGTGAATCATCGCGAGGCTTCCGGGTCGGATACGGGTACATACTTGGGGAGGGGGGGAAGAGAAGTATGTACGGGAGCGCTACAGATGCGATGTCAATCTTCTCGGCCACAGCCAGCCCTCTTTTATTTGACTCCTCAGACCCCTCTTTTTCTCTTTCTTCTCTTTTAGCCCCAGAGGAAGGTGTCAAAATCTCGAATCCAGAAGTTATACTCAGACTGGGCGAGATCCTGGTCTCTTCTGACCTTACTCGTCCAATTAAGTTACTGAAAGACTGGCCGTCTCGGTTTGGCATCAGGCGATGCAGTCTTCCGCTCACATCCTGTTGCTGTCCAATAAGATATACAAGTGACAACAGCCACCTTCCTGTGTATTTCCTAGGTTACTGAAGTCGCCCAAGCCGCCAAGGTTGGGAGGCAATCACATCAGGCTGCGCGGCTACTTTTCCCGCCCAGCATGTTCTTGAACTCTGTTTTCAGAATTGCCTGATCTAGACCAAATAAAATCACTACCCTGTAGTACTGCGACTGCTACTTCGATTTGAGCTTGTGGTCAGCCAACTAGCGATAACTTGCTTCGCGATATTGAAGAGAAGTCTTTATTTGTTTTAGCCATACCACCTCTACACACATTCCCGACATCTAATCGATTTGGCGTTTCATCCAAGAAGGGGCATCACGCAATGCAATCGACAACTTTGTCTCGGTCCGTGAGCCAAGGTGAGACTACTACAGTAACCAACGCAGATGTACACGAGGGCAATAATCATAAATTGGGGTGGGTCAAAGTCGAGAACAAACCGAAAAATGACGTGAATCCTAAACATGCGGGATGCATCTTGAAGCCCTCTGAAGCATTGCCCAAGGGATTCATTGATGGCCTACCTCAGCAAGCCTATGGGCATTTCTTCGTCGTAAGCGAGGTTTCCGGCACTGGAGATATCAAGATATGCGTGGTAAGTCCAACCCAGCCAAGTGAAGACAAAGGGCTTACACTAAGTTCCATTGCCTGAGATCACCTCAAATCGTAAGGCCAAACAGAAGAAAATGCGAATCAAAGGAAGCAAGGAAGAACGCCCCGAATCAGCGGAAGAGCTTGTGATCGAAGGCACTTGTCCTCTTCAGGTCAGGTCTTGGCTCAAAGTTGAAGAACGATATGGAATAAGCGCTCTGAGGTGGGATAACTGCGCCGAAGATCTTCTCGTAGCAGGATGCCGGCTGTCTGCCAAGTCGATAAAGAAAGTCAAGCGGGCCGATATCAAGTAACATACTCCTGGTTAAGGAGCGGATGAAATGGAGTCTTAATGAATCTGGTTGATTTAAAGCATAGACTATGCTTCCATTGAACGAGAAATTCTCGCCTGGCACAAGGTTCATTGTTGAAGCTTGCTCAGAACTCCAAGGTTATCATGGCTAATGCTATACTTCGAGTTTACTCAGTTTGTCAAATACAGCGCTCTCACGTCGGTCGTCAGTGCAGGAGGTGCACCAAGATTCAAGCTACACAGATATTTTTTCGAATTTGAGCCCATCTTCCGGAAATGAAATCATGTCGTCGTAAACAAGGTATACATGTTGATGCAATGTCATCGGAAATTGCGAGATGAGACACATAAGCCAGATTCTTGATCTGGGAGAACAAGAAGTACGTTCAACGGAATCACCTCGTGGCTGGTTCATGAAATCCATGGTTTTGTATCGGACATAAAAGAGCTAAATCTTGCTAAATGCTATTTTGAGTTGCATGTACATGGGCCGGGGTCAACCGAATTCCGCCCCTTGAAAATCAGCGTGCTTCATGATCGTCATTTCCTCTATGCGGTCTTGCCCTTGATGATATCGGCAGCCTAAAATCCGAATTGTTAGCGAACAACCCCAGATACTCTTAGAAAGCGCCTAGCGCCTAGCGCCTAGCGATGTTGGGTAGAGCTTACCTTCTCAGCAACAGCATAGACTGTAGTCATAATGTGAGTGGCAGGAACAAGAGGCATGATGCTGGCGTCAACAACGCGGAGTCCACTGATGCCATAGACCTTCAGGCTGGCGTCAACGACACCACCCTCCTCTCTTGCGCCCAACTTGCAGGTACCAACGGGGTGGAACAAGGTACCACTCTGCTGGCGAACGAAGTCGGTGATGGCAGCGTCAGTGGTAACGTTGGCGCCAGGAACGACCTCGAAAGGCTGAAGGGGCTTGACGGCCTCGGTGCCGGCGATGGTGCGAGCGAACTTGACACCCTCAACCAAGAAAGAAACATCGAGGGGGTTCTTCAGGAACGCGGAGTCGGCGGTGGGAGCATCGAAAGTGCTGGAGGAGGCAGCCTTGAGGGAACCACGAGAGTAGGGGTGCTGGAGACCGAGAACAACAACACCATCGGCCCAGATCAACTCGAGGAGCGCAGAGTCGGTGGCGGTGAGACGCTCGTTGAGGACCTTCTGCTGTGCCTGGTATCCCTTGACAACCTCGGCGGGAG